AATGGAAGTTATGTGTCATGGGACTAATGAACCTTGCAGATGCCATGAAGAAGTCCACACACAGTAAGGGGTCACTACCTAAGATGACACATGTACAAAGCCCCGCATCGTTTATTTGAACAGCAACATTTTTCATCAGTGTTTTAACATAGTCAAAAATTGCACTTAAAGAGTCATCTGAAGTTGGATTATTAAAAAATCAGACACAATCATGCAAACGAATCCTACATCATTATATCCAAATCTGTCAGCCTCCAGCACATGCACCAAAACATTTACAAAGGCCAGGTTATCACACTGCAAGTGAACATGTCTGACTTGCTGAATAGACTGTTTTCTCATGGTAAACAGCTGTCTTAACTTCTTTTTCCTAATTAAAGGAATGAGATATTGATCCTGTTATCTTTGGCAGAAAACTAGAAAACTGGAGTTGCTTACTACCTTACTGTTGTATTTTTTCAACAATCACTCAAGTTGAAATCAACAGCCCCGTGTGTTTAGACACAAAAAATATATGTAGTGAAGTAGGGGTGGGCGATAGAAACGATATACGATAGAAACGATATAAATTTGGCCAACGACAGAGATTTAAACTATACCGCTCTATCGCGATAGCACATGTTGATGATGTCATCAAGCTGCGCCTGTTTTGGTCGAAAGCATCGCAGCAGCTACAACCATTATCATCTGCAAATTATGCCGGGTGTCAGTCACAGCAAAGAGATGAAGCACTTTTGAAATATGGGGAAAGCCAAAAACTGCGCTTCCTCCACTTCCGTAACATTGATTCATTAAGGTTGAATTCTCTCACAGCTGCTCTATTCCCATGTTGTTGCAGTATATTAATAACTAATGAATTCCTGTTAACTTGTAACTCCGTTAAATTTAATAAATTCTGTTTTCATGGATGCATGGATGTTAAACTTAATTGTTACACCTAGTAAAGCAGCAACGCTGATGATTTAATTAAAGATGAAAGAATTTAGACCGTTTTTAACTCTCAGTGTTCGTTTGACTTTGGGACCTGAAACGGACGGAGTTTTGGACCCAGATTACTCCGCGAAGCTCCTCACTACGGCAGCCGTAATGCTCTGACAATCCATCAAGCAGTGCGACTTACCAAAGTTGTACTAAAACATTTTTAACAGATTTCTGCAGCCAAATTTGGTTCGAGGTCAGTAAGCACAACCAGAATTCATACATAAGGCACACTCTTGATTTTTGAGAAAATTAAAGGATTTTAAGTGTGCCTTACAGTGTGGAAAATACGTTATACAGAAGAAAAGAATATATCGTGATACATATTGTTACCGCACGTGCTTCAAATTATATCGCGATATGGATTTTAGGCCATATCGCCCAGCCCTAGAGTGAAGACGAGATGTGAAATGTGACTACAGTGCCCTTCACTGTTCCAAATGTTTGGTGTTGAATAATGTCTAGGAAAGTGTTTTTGTTGAACATTATTATGACACCCATAAGATGAACTTTGACCTTTTGGATATGAAATTTCATTACCTTTTAGGCATTGAAATAATAGCACAAGAAAAAAATAGTTTTTGGAGTTGAGTGATCTAATTCTCCTTTTTCCTCAAGTCCAAGTGAAACATACACTATATAGACAAAAAGAAGACTGAAAAGAAGAGGCCAAAAGTATTGGCCAACACCCCTCATGCTTTGAACTCTGGTGTTTTCAGTCACATTGCTACAGGTGTATAAAGTCGCGTGCCTAGCCATGCAGTCTGTGAAAGAGCTCACTGAATTTGAGCGTGACGCTGTAATAAAATACAATCACTGCAACAAGTCAGTTCATGTAATTTCATAGTCCATGTTCAACTGTAAATGCTATTACTGCAAAGTAGAAGTGTTTAGGAACCACAGCACAGACCATGTAAAGTTACAGAGCAGGGTCACTGCAGAGGCACACAGTGCATAAAATGCTCTGCTGACTCACAACCTGCAGATTTTAAACCTCCTCTGGCGTTAATATCAACACAAAAACAGTTGCTCTCCACAGCTGAGCAGCTTCTGTAGCTGTAATGTGTAGGTGGTACAAACAGTGATGTTTGACCACAAACTAAAAGCCATGGTTATCAGACATTAACTAAAGTGTGATCACAATCATTACACATTTAAAACCCTTCACAGGATGCCTACAGTTATAAAAATACCAAAACTGTTTAAAATTGTACATGAAAAGTGGTAGTGGTGTCCAATAGATGCCTTTAGCATTTTAGCATCTGGATAAAACACTAAATACTAAGAGAAGCAGTGTAAATATCCTGATGTACTGACCTTAAAACTGTATTTACACCCAACAGTTGATGTACAGTGGAGCAAAAAAGTATTTAGTCAGCCACCGATTGTGCAAGTTCCCCCACTTAAAATGATGACAGAGGTCAGTAATTTGCACCAGAAGTACACTTCAACTGTGAGAGACAGAATGTGAAAAAAAAATCCATGAATTCACATGGTAGGATTTGTAAAGAATTTATTCGTAAATTAGGGTGGAAAATAAGTATTTGGTCACCTCAAACAAGGAAAATCTCTGGCTCTCACAGACCTGTAACGTCTTCTGTAAGAAGCTTTTCTGTGCCCCACTCGTTACCTGTATGAATGGCACCTGTTTGAACTCATCATCTGTATAAAAGACACCTGTCCACAGCCTCAAACAGTCAGACTCCAAACTCCGCCATGGCCAAGACCAAAGAGCTTTCGAAGGACACCAGGAAAAGTATTGTAGACCTGCACCAGACTGGGAAGAGTGAATCTACGATAGGCAAGCAGCTTGGTGTGAAAAAATCAACTGTGGGAGCAATCATCAGAAAATGGAAGACATACAAGACCACTGATAATCTCCCTCGATCTGGGGCTCCACGCAAGATCTCATCCCGTGGGGTCAAAATGATCATGAGAACGGTGAGCAAAGATCCCAGAACCACACGGGGGGACCTGGTGAATGACCTGCAGAGAGCTGGGACCAAAGTAACAAAGGTCACCATCAGTAACACACTACAACGGCAGGGAATCAAATCCCGCAGTGCCAGACGTGTCCCGCTGCTGAAGCCAGTGCATGTCCAGGCCCGTCTGAAGTTTGCCAGAGAGCACATGGATGATACAGCAGAGGATTGGGAGAATGTCATGTGGCCAGATGAAACCAAAGTAGAACTTTTTGGTATAAACTCAACTCGTCGTGTTTGGAGGAAGAAGAATACTGAGTTGCATCCCAAGAACACCATACCTACTGTGAAGCATGGGGGTGGAAACATCATGCTATGGGACTGTTTTTCTGCCAAGGGGACAGGACGACTGATCCGTGTTAAGGACAGAATGAATGGGGCCATGTATCGTGAGATTTGGAGCCAAAACCTCCTTCCATCAGTGAGAACTTTGAAGATGAAACAAGGCTGGGTCTTCCAACATGACAATGATCCAAAACACACCGCCCGGGCAACAAAGGAGTGGCTCCGTAAGAAGCATTTGAAAGTCCTGGAGTGGCCTAGCCAGTCTCCAGACCTCAACCCCATAGAAAATCTGTGGCGGGAGATGAAAGTCCGTGTTGCTCGGCGACAGCCCCAAAACATCACTGCTCTCGAGAAGATCTGCATGGAGGAATGGGCCAAAATACCAGCTACTGTGTGTGCAAACCTGGTAAAGACCTATAGTAAACGTTTGACCTCTGTTATTGCCAACAAAGGTTATGTTACAAAGTATTGAGTTGTATTTTTGTTATTGACCAAATACTTATTTTCCACCCTGATTTACGAATAAATTCTTTACAAATCCTACCATGTGGATTCATGGATTTTTTTTTCACATTCTGTCTCTCACAGTTGAAGTGTACCTCTGGTGCAAATTACTGACCTCTGTCATCATTTTAGGTGGGGGAACTTGCACAATCGGTGGCTGACTAAATACTTAGTTCAGCCCCCGAACTGATTTAAGTGGATGATAGGTTAAGAATTACTTAGTCAAACTGGTGTGTAGAACAGTTCATTCAAAACCTAAAAAGTAAGAGTACTCAAAACAGTAAGTATAAGTCAGCAAGATGATGACAACAAGCAAGGTAGGAACAAAAAATGAATAAAATGAAGGGGGGAAACCTTAAGGCATTAAAGCTTAAACAACACATCCATGACAGGTTATTTTAATCACGTAAAGCTCTAAATAGGACAGTTTACTGGAAGAGAAATACCAGCATAAATGTGACTTTTTATTAATCACCAATGGAAACTATAGTAATTTACTGTATCTACACATTTCATATGTTCAGACAAGACCTTAGCTTAAATAAAAGATATTTTAATAAACATAAACTTACAAAACACGAACAGAGAAAGTTCATGATGCGGGATGGAGCCAAAAAGAGTGCAACATTATATCCTCATCATCTTAGAGCCTAAGAACCCTCAGATGAGCTGCATCAGCTGATGACCCCCCTTAATTTTTAGCATGAGGATCAACAAGGAAACACTCCCAGTACAGAGGGATGAGTGTCATGATATTCACTAATAATTTGGTGATAAATATAAGCAAACAGTGTTTTACTTTACACATTAACACTTCAGCTTTACTTGTGAACTGAGTGCTCCAGGTAAGGAAAGGTTAGGCTGAGGTCAGTGTGGCCAGACATGCTCCATCTACAGCCTTGGTAAGATAACAGATTCTCTGTGAGCCTGAACGCCACTGAGGCAGAAACAGACATATAAACTACTGCAGCGTAAAGTAAAGGGTCATCCTGGCCAACTACTACAACACTGGAGGCGAAAGGCTTGGCATGGTGGTGGATGGAGGTGGCAGAAATGTGTGAGTTCAAGTGTGTGCGTACAAAAAGAAGAAAAAACTTATCCCATAAGTGGATCCTCCAGGGCAGAGGCTGTGTGTTTCCATGAATTTAAAACACAGTATATGGGGAAGTGTGTGTGTGTGTGTGTGTGTGTGTGTGTGTGTGTGTGTGTGTGTGTGTGTGTGTGTGTGTGTGTGTGTGTTGTGAGCCTTACCCTTTAGGTGGATCTTATTTTCCGGGCTGTGCACCAACACCGAGCTAACTGAATCCAAGCTGTCGTAGTTACTGCAGCCGAGAGGGCCTGTCCTTGTTTCGGTTACCTAGGAAATACAGGAGGGATAGCTCTGTTTACTTCAACAGCTACCTCATCCACTAAATAGTGGATGAGGTAGCTGTTTGTTTCTCTTTCTGGCAGTCATGTACACAGCTGTAGCAGGTGAAGTGTGTGAAGGCAGGCAGAATACTGGATGTGGCAGAGCCCTCTGACAGCAGAGAAACTGTCACCATCTTTGGCTTCACTCGTACACCTGCAGACACAGCTGTGTGCAACGTGAGGGCTTTCTTCAAAGAATGGTGGAAAATATGTGAAGAAAAGTAAAAAGTTAACAGATGCAGATACTTGTGAAGGACTCACAAAATCAAATATTGAAAGGTAGGCTGTTAAGCAGCTGTTTTTAGTAGAGGCAATAAGCATGGTAATGACCACTTTTACATGTTAGTGTTCTTAAATCATCAAAATCTGCAAATTTCTTAAATATTACACTAAGATGTTTATTACTTTTATGACTATAATTATTCCTATTAGCAGAAATCATGATATTTGTTGTTCCATTGAATTATTACAAATGCATCTTACTTAAAATGTTCATATAATCTGCTGATTTGTTTGAGCCTATATTTTTATCACAGCGTCACAGACAGGATTGCTTTGCCCAAACCCCACAAATTTAACAATATGTCTGTAATTCTACTTCATTATTAATTTTAGATACTTTGTGGTATGTATTTAAGAATATTTACCATGTAGTCTCTCTTATTATTAGGGTTTAAAAACATATTTCTATTCACAAGTTAAAATAAATAAATACATAAAATTTATCTTGGCTTTAGAATAACTGTGAAACACATTTCCCTTAAGATTCAAGGCAGCAGGCTTTAGACAGCTGTAATGTTTAAGTGTGACCAATGATAATGCTGCATCTGTTACAGCAGCAAAACACTCAAGAGATAACATGCAAGAACTGTAATTTTAAGTAAACCTTGGAGCGGTTTAAATACAAGGCACTGGTAGTGCTCCACCCTCTCCACCCGTCTTATTCTGAGGCTGTAAAATGGCCATTCATAAACCAAATGCTGACATCATCTTCCAACATAAGATACTTTTGCTACACTACAAGAAATTAAGAATCAAGAATCATGCTCTTCTTTTTTTATATTATCTTTATGCACCACTTCACACAACCTTACACTCTGTCGAGAAAATAAAGACAACTATTACTGATGCAAACATCATTTTTTAAAAATCGCTTATATAACATGTAGATAAAGAAATACTCTCCAGTGTGTATTGTATTTGATTCAAAGGTTTCTTTAAAATGCTAGCAGCATCAAAGTACAGGTATTGTGCATCGAAATCAGATGCTTAGATAGAAGTTCTAACTGGTCCTTTCTAGATCCAGCATCTCCTTAGCAGTAAAAGTATAGTTACAACTTAAAAACTATGGATTAATCTCCTTCACGTAAGCCTTTGTTGTAAACTAATTACACTCATGTAGTGGTCAATCAAAGATAAGCTAGTGGCTATTTCCTGGCTATTGTCGACAATTCCAGCACACTGTAAAAAAAAAAATCCCCTTCTTTTGGTATGAATATACAACATCATCACTGAACAAAAATATTATAGGGACTTGTTGATTGCAAGTGATGATGACAAGTGATCATACAATACAAAGCTGGCTAGCTGCGCTGGAGTACCAGTGCAACAGTCACAGAACTGAACTGAAAATTTCTTCCGTACAAGATGCAAAAAAAGTAAATTGTAATAGTACAATTTCGTTTTTAAAAATATATAAATTGAAGCTGAATATTAGTGGTTTTGCAAGAGATGTAATGGAAATTATGATATGTTGACAATATTGTTGTTGTGACATGAACAGAGGGTGAAGAGAAAAGGTGCACACAGAGCAATGAGTGTAAACAGAAAAAAGTCACATAAGCGTGACAGATGGAACAAAAGGGATAAGACACAAGAAAGAAAAGAAAATACTGTAAAAAATTAAGCAAACATTATTTTGCAGATATCGCACACAGTTCATTTTCCCAAGCAGTTGTTCAAAATAGAACGTAACAATATGGACATGTCCTCTGGCAAAACCATTCTGCAGCTAAATCAGGCCATTTGGCAAATAAGGTAGCCTGTGCAAATTTGCTGTCCTTAACACAGCCCTGCGCCTTACATCTCCACACTCTGCCTTGCATTAAGATTGGATCTAATATCAAAAGAAATAGAAGTTACCCTTGAAGGTGCTACAGGAGATACACATCTCAAACATCACTCAAATAACCAACTAAAAAACCAGACACTGCTGAGATGAAGTCAAAGATAAGCTACAGATAAAGGCTAGCAACAAGGAAAGATTAGTGAAGGAGGACGGGGCTGTTTGGGGATGTTGTTTCAGCCACACGTACCACTGATAATCCCTGCCTTAAAAAGAAACCAAAAGAAACCTGTTGCATCTCATTCATGTTTTGGAATTGGCTGTGTAACATAATCCCTTGGGTTTTTCTTTGTTCACATTAAACTCTACCTCATAGGGTGCGCTCAAAGTCTGTGAAGTCGGATAAATTTTATGATTCCACAAAACCAAAGCAGTTTGTATTTTTTTAATAAATTGCATGCAGTTAAAATTAAAAGCCTGCAGAATGTGCACAGTGGTTATGAAAAGGTACAAAAATGATCAGGGTAGGATAACTATTTTGCAGATATTTGGCTGGAGTAAGAGAAATATACTACTAACCAAACAGTGCATGTTTTTCCTTTTATTTGTTGTATTTTCGAGGTTATCCTCTGAATCTTTTAGCCAACAAATGATTCTGAATTGGATTTGGATAAGTGGATAAGAAAGTGGATGGATTGATGGATAGATGGATGGACGGATGGATGGATGGACGGATGCATGGACGGATGGATGGACAGATGGATGGCATTTCCCTTTTTTGTGTTAGTCTCTTTGTTTTCACTTCCTCTTTCTTTCTGATGACATCATTCTTCTTCCTGTGTGATTTTTTTGTCCCATGCTGACTCACCTTTGTTAAGTTCCATTCTCTGTATATACATACTGTAGTCTTGCATCGCCTTTATCAAGCTGCCAGTCTGTGTACTTCCTGTCATGGTCCTGCGACCATGACTCAGTGACTTTATGTTTATGTTCTTTATTGTTATTACTTTCATTATTATTCATGGCTGTTTTGGGATGGTTTGTGTTTGGGATTTTAGACACTGGGTTCTGGGTTTGTGCTCCCTCTGTTGGTCCCTGGTGTTAGTGTCCCCCTGTCTCGTCAGGTTAATCAGGTCCAGCTGTTTCCCCCACCTGTGTGTGATTTCCCAGTGTCTCTTTGTGTACTTATAGTGTGTGATTTCCTCTGCTCCTCGTCGCGTCGTCTGTGTTCATACCCGGTGAATCCCCTGCGTGCTCTCCCTGCTGTTCTCCCTTCATGTTCAGGTTTGCCACTCCCTTTGTGTAGTTTCTCCCAGTTTAGTTCGTCCTTAGTTCTGTTTTGCCATCTCCACTTTATGTTCAGTATTGTCAATAAATCACCTTCACATCTGAGTAAGTGCTGCATCTGAGTCCTCCTTTCCACTCTTCACACGGCCGCTGCCCCGGACCGTGACAGTACGACGCGACCACAAGATGGACCCAGCAGCGCTTAATCCGTCCAGGGAGCTACGGGAGACGCTCATCGATGCCACACAGGAGCTGATCGACCTGTGGCTGGAAAGCCCGGGTGGCACGTCCCAGCGCGCTATAGAGAGGCGGCTACAGCGTCTGGTGACCGGTCTCCCATGGCTGCTGGACTCGCTCTGTTCGTGGGAGCGGGAGTTTCTCCTTTTGGACCTTGGACTTCACCCCCCGTCTGCATTCACTTTCGAGCAGCCCGATGCGGTGAGTCAGCGGGATGCATTGCTTTCCCCAGTTTCCGGGACTTTGTTTTCTGGGGCTATTCAGAGCGGGATGGGAGACTGTATGGATCGCTTACCTACCTTCGTGGTAACGGATCCTTCCCAAGTGGGCGTGTACAAACCCGCTGCAAAACTGACAGACTGTGTCTCTGCCGCTCCTTCTGAGCCAGGACTTTATTGCCATTCTCCGGCTCAGTTCTGTGTCCAGCCACAAGCTTCCCAGTCTGTAGCTCAACCATTAGCCTCCCTTAAGCCACAATTTTCACACTGTTTTTCCACCGCTGTTTCTGAGCAGCGAGACAAACTGTTTCACTACGGATCTGTTCCTCAAAAGCTGGCTACATTAGAGACTATTGCTCACTCCGGGGCTTCCCCAGAGGCTGGGTCTCTGCCCTCAGCTTACTCTGGACCCCTGGAGGCCAAGATGCCAGCTGTGAACTGCACCGGGCTGTCACTGCCTGAGCAGGGTCAGTGCTCTGCACAGCTGCAGCCCTCCTTATGTGTGCCGGAGGCCCACGTGCCTACTGGTTTTGTTTCATATGTGCCAGAGGCCCACGTGCCTACTGGTTTTGTTTCATGTGTGCCGGGGGCCCACGTGCCTACTGGTTTTGTTTCATGTGTGCCGGGGGCCCTGGTGCCCACTGGTTCTGCGGCTGTTTTCGCTGGGGGGCCCGAGGAGCCCGTCCAGCCTCCTGTTTCGCCTGCTGGGGGGCCCGAGGAGCCCGTCCAGACTCCTGTTTCGCCTGCTGGGGGGCCCGAGGAGCCCGTCCAGCCTCCTGCTTCGCCTGCTGGGGGCCCGAGGAGCCCGTCCAGCCTCATGCCACACTGACTGCCACGTCGGCTGGGGGGCCCGAGGATCCCGTCCGGCCACCTGTGGCTGCTTCTCCACCTGTGGCTGCTTCTCCACCTGTGGCTGCAGCGCCGCCTCCTGCAGTATCATCACCTCCAGCGCTACCACCTGCTACTGCCACGCCTCAGCCTGAAGCTTCAGCCTCGCCTGGTTCTGGTCCAGCTTCATCCTCACCTGGCCCAGCTTCAGCTTCAGCTTCAGCTTCAGCCTCGTCTGGTCCAGCTTCATCCTCACCTGGCCCAGCTTCAGCTTCAGCGTCAGCTTCGCCTGGCCCAGTTTCGGCTACAGCT